ATATAAATATACATTTCTAAATGCTCAAGGACAACAATCTATGATAGATTACGTGATAACCAATCGACGGTTTACACTGTCAGAAATTTTAGAAGTAAGAACAACTAATAAAGGAAATGACCATTCACTGCTATTATGTAAAATAAGGTTAAAACTCCCAAATAAAAAGGAGACAAATATTGAATGGAAAGAAAAGCTTAACATAGAATCTTTGGAAAATGAAAGTACAAAACAACTGCACATCGCTAGACTTAATAATCTATTCGATAATGCATCTATAGAGGAAGGAAAAGTGGAAGATACATGGAAGAAATTAAAAGGTAATATTATAATAGCTGCTGAAGAATAGTTAGGTTAAAGAAAATTTAAATGTGTCCCATCACGTATACATGAAACATCATGGTTCATAGAAGTAAAGTTTATAGTAAAAAAGAAAAAGGAATCTTATTTATAATACATGAATTCAAAATTCATGAAGGATTTTGAGAGAGACCTTTATGGATCACAAAGAAAGGTGTGAGGATTATTGAGAAATAGTAACGTAGAAATCACTGAAACCATAAAGATTAATAATAATTTAGACAAGGGAGCATGGAAAAAATATTTTTCAGACTTATAGAAGGATTCAGAATATAACTGAGGGATATATTATAAAAATGACTTCAATTTAGATAATGTAGAAAATTTCAGAAGAAGTGCAAGAAATGGTAAAAACCTTGAAGAACAGAAAAGCACCTAGTAGTGATGGGATAAGTAATGAGTTATTAAAATATGGTGGAAAGAATTTATTAGATCAAATGACTGTATTATTTAATATTATAATCAAAGAAGAAAGAATACCATTAGAATGGAAATCCAGCATAACCTTACCCATATTCAAAAAAGGAGCAAGAATAATCCTGAAAATTATAGAGGCATCACTCTATTAAATACAACACATAAAGTACTTTCAAAAATGATATTACAAAAGATACAGTCATTTATACAAATAAATGAAGAACAAGGAAATCATTTAAATAGATTAACAACAGACGCCATACTTGTGATTTGTCAAGAAGTCAAAAAGGCGATTGAATTTAACACAGCCTTTTTATGTTTTGTAAATCGAAAGAAGGTATTTGATTGTTTAAGACTACAAGATATAAAAGCAATCTTGAGAGAGAAGAACATACCAAAGGCATTAATAAAAGTAATAGAGGATATGAATACGAACAGTCACAAAAGTGCTAATTAGAAATGTGGTAAAAGATGAAATTATATGTGCATCTGGCATTAGACAGGGGGATTCTCTATGCCCTACACTTTTTAATTTAATTATGGACAAGCATAATGACAGTGTAAAAGAAATGTCAGGATATAGAATGGGTACTGAGAGAATATCTATATTGTGTTATGCAGATGATGCAGTGTGATTGGCAGATTCAGAAGACAACTTTAAAAGACTCTTCCAAATATTTTCGAAAAGTGCAGAATATTAGAATATGGTTATCTCAACTGAAAAAACAAAACCAATGGTGATCAAAGAGCGTATATGGTGTAAACGGATGATAAAGAATAAAATAATAGAGCAAGTAATGAAATTCACTTATTTGGAAGTTCAAATTTCAAGGTCATGAAATATGTTTAATGAAATTAAACAGCAAGTAACGATAGGAGCCACAATATCATGGTATTTGAAAGATGTGACATGGGGAAACAAATATCTTAATGTAGAAAGCAAAGTAAAAATTAACTATGGTAAGATCAGTAATAACATTTAGAACAGAAACAAGGGCCCATAATAGAAGAACTAAATAAGACTCTACTTAGAACATCAGAGATGAGAACATTATGATCAATGTCGGGTGTAACAAGATGGGATAGATAGAAAACCAAGATATAAGAAATGAATGTGACATTACAACATAGTAAAATTTACAAGAAGAAGAAGAGAATGAAATGAGCACATTACCAGGTAGTATCGCAAATGTCTAATCAAGATTGCTAGGGATTCAAAACCTGTAACAAAAAGGGACCCAGGCAGATCGAAGAAAAGATGAATCGAGAGTTGGATTTCCACATCTTTTGAATTATACTGATTGTGAAGTGTGAAGAAAAACAGGTGTTAACCTTAACAAAAGAAAAAGAAGAATTTAGGTATTAATATTACAATTATTACTTCTCATCAAGTGATTAGATAACTAGTCAAAAGATTTGGCCATACCTCATATGTGTATGTGTGTGTGTGTGTATGTATAATATATATATATATATATATATATATATATATATATATATATATATATATATATATATATATATATATATATTATATATATATATAATGATATATATATATATTTACACATGTATATCTTTAAGAGTATTAACAATTTTATAAGAAAGCATTGATTTCAGCACCAATTGTCATGAGAGTACTACAAAACAATACAGAATGTAATTAATTTAATTGCACAATACTAGACCACTGCAGACCACAAATTTTCTATAAACAATAAATTCCTTACAATACACACGATAATAAAAATAAAATAATGTATTACGTGAAAATTTTAACCTCAATGAATTAAAAAATATTAACGTTTGTAATATTACAATACAATAATTAGTTCATAGAATAAGTTATAATCTTTATAAAATGAACATTAAAATCTGAAGTAATTAAAACAATGTGACTTTTAAATTGAGAAAACAGTATACATTGAATTTCAGCACCAATTATCATGAAAGTACTTCAAAACAATACAAAATTAGTAATTAATTTAATTGCACAATACTAGACCACTGCAGATCACAAATTTGCTATAAAAACAATAAATTCCTTACAAAACACACAATAATAAAAATAAAATAATGTATTACTTGAAAATTTTTAACCTCACTGAATTAAAAAATAATTATGTTTGTAATATTACAATACAATTAGTTCAGAGAATAAATTACCCTCCAACATCACTGTTAGTGTTGGCCCCCTCAATCAATAAATTACCAAATCTATGCAAATTGATAATTTTATTAAAAATACTCAGACTGTTCTAGCATACAAATCAAAATAAATATGTTAGATGTATTTGCTAAAAAAAGAAAAAAAAATTATTTGTTTTCAAAGATCCAGAAAAAAATAGGAAAATGGTATCTTCAACTATGCATTTGTCACAATGATGTAGGCTGTTGTATGTACTGTATAAAATTTGAAATTTTTGAACTTTTTCTTGTCTATAAGAAGATAATTTTCAATGACTTCTCCTTTTCAATAATTTTGTTTTTTATACAAAATACTATTATTCAGAGCTATTATAATATCATTAACAATTAATAGGTGTTACTTGTGCCTTGCCTTTGCATTCTAGCTGTTCTTTTACAACACAGTACAATGTTCGCAAATAACACCAATTGCAAAAACCGAATGGAAAATCAGAAACTTAGAAAAAATTTAAAATTATATTTTTCACACAAAATGTGTTCTCAGAAAAAAATTATTGAAAAATTAGTTATCTTGTTTTGAGAGCAATACTGAAGGAAAATCAACATCAAAATTTAAGTCACAAATCTATGGATTTTTGTGAAGTTTTAAAATATTTTGTTAATAATTAAGAAGATTAAATTTCAAATTACATGAGAATCAAATCATACACATTTGTTATAAGACAAATCAAGTGAGGTACACTTCAAGGCATATTCAAGTAAGAAATAAAACCAACATGAAACTGAAGGCACATTACTTAATACATTTCATTATACCTTTACCTTAGTAGATTATTTACTGAAATTATCTTTTAAAATATAGGTACCAGTTTTGTTTCCATAGCTGATGTAATGGTCTAGATCAGGATTGTCTAACTGGCAGTCCACATGCAGCTCATGGTTCATTTATTGTGGCCCATGAAGGGTTATTACTCAAAAGTGAAAGACCCTTGCATACACTTCAGGCAAGAACATTCTTTGCCTAGCGCACACACTCTGCCAGTGTCAACAGTCCCTTTAATTAAAAATAGTTGGTTTAGATTTAATGATTTTCTTCTCGTACATACAAAAATTCAAAAACATTGCAATACATTTCACTGTATTATACATGGTACAACTTGATATCACACATAGTTCCACCCCCACTCCCTAATTGCAGAGAAGCAAGGCAAATGTCAAGATCAACAGTATAAGGACATGGATCGGCCTGCAATCATATTAAAAGTGTTAGTTGTGGCCCTTGAGGTCTTGCAAGTTGGACACTGTAGGTCTAGATAATCTAGAGTAAACAACCACCACCAGAAAATATATCTGGCAGAAATTTTATTTGTCCTGCATGGTAAAGCCTACCTGTGAAAACTAGGAACAAGTAAAACACATCTCAGAAATATCACATTCTCATGAAAATGCCTATTTTTTACATCTTCTATAATGAATAATCAACTGTTCCAAACTCCAATTCTAAAAGGATTTCATGTACACTAATTCTATTACTTCTAAATTTAATGGCACACTTTAATTTGAACTTATATTGATTCAAGTAAATGAAGGACAAATCATTTTCTGAGACAAAGAATTGCTTTTAAACTCAGAATATTATAGTAATGAATAATTAATCAGATATGACATGATTAAGAATTTTTGATTCCTAAAAATAGACATTCAAATTCTAAATATTTATCAGAAAGAACCATTAAATTCTGAAAGGTAGATCAACAATGAAAAATTGAATTATAAAATAAATATTATCTCATTAAATTCTGGTAGGTTACATTTTGATCTGACCTGTTTTATATTAACTCTGAACTAATTCCAAATCCTCATTAATTTCTTTATTGTGTCTGCTTACATTTTCTCCAAATTTTCAACTCGATAAATTTCCATAGATTCACAATAGGTAAGATATTTCACCAAGATATGATTTTCATTCGTTTATATAAGTGAGATAAGGCATTATATATATATATTATTATAATATATATATATAATATTATTTATATATATAATATATATATAATATATATATATATAATATATATATAAAAAGATGTTGATCAGGCAATGTTCTAGAATGTAAAACATTTTTGTATGAGTAAATATATTCTATACCCCCCTACTTCACCAATACCAAAGCTGTTTACTCAATAAAAAAGCTTGTTGCACTTCACATATACTGAAGGACATTACAATGAATAGGAATGAATACATAATAATCATATAAATCCCAGTATCCCTAAAAATACAATATTTGTCTTTAACAATGACGACACTTACATGACAGAGAACACGGTCAAAAGCATCAACATGATAAACTATTCCCAAATGTAACCCTTGAGAGAACCCCCTCCAGTAACCCTTGAGAGAATTTAAGTAAATTCTATATTTCTTGTAACCATATTAAAAACTACGTCAGAATAATTTCAATTAATAAGTAATAAGAAAATATTTTTATAAACACTTTAATTTCACTTGGACTTTATGCCAAACCTTTTAAAATTACTATTTAATTTATACTATGTATCTTTGAATACTTAATTAACTTTCATGATAATACACAATTAAGCAATTCTTGAGTTCACCAAAGCATATTCAACAAATGTGAACACACATTTACATAAGAAGTAGAGTAGAAAAAATTATAACACTACTAAGAATTATTTTTAAAAATAACCATTAATACAACTTTTGTTTGAGGTGGGCAGTAAATATGTATTCTGAGAATGAGCATTAGAAACAACATCAACATTTGTTATTTCAATAATTACATGATTCTATTGATTTGGGGAGTGTTACCTACACACTTCTCTCGCAAAACAGGTATAACAGGATTTTTGTTAAAAATTCTCATATCAAAATTTAGTAATTTTCAGTGGCAAAATAAATTAAATGATCTTACCAAGAGAGGCTCACCAAGAATTTTTCTTCAGAATGGGGAGGGTACACGTATAGTGTCCAGATAACTTAATGTTTTCTTCTAAGGAACTTTTCATTTATGCTGAGTATAAAATATATTTTTATTTGTTGATTTATAGTTACTATTTATAATGATAAACTTAATATATCGATTGATTTTCATTAGAATAGAAAATTAGTTAACATTATATTTCTGCATATAAATCATATTCCCTCTACCCCTGGTATGCCAGTGTGATCTAATGATCTTCCAAGTGTTGACCATACACGAAATAAACAGTTGTAAAAGTGTTACTTATTAAAAACATTTTTCACTATTCATTACTTTTGTGTTGATCACTTGTTTGGGTTGATGTTACATGTCTACAAATAAAAAAAATGACCAAGATATCTTTGTTTCAATTAAGTGAATGAACATGTTCTCCAGTAAATTGAATAAATATTCACGATGTTGATGTTCATTTCTGTACTCAGAGAAAACAATATCACATTATGATCCAAGACGTCATTTCACATTCTCAAGGGTTGGAATGTTTTACTTTGAGAACCACTGATATATTGAAGTGATGTTTTTCATAAAATATCTATTGTCATAATAAATACATTTCTAAGGACAAATGCTAGATCAGCCAAATACTCCAATATATTTCACACACAATGTAAACACTCTCTATGCAATACACTTCATAACTGCAAATACTATGTCACAAAAAAATATCAAATTATTCTCATCATTCGTTATTACTGGCTTCACAAATGGCTTGCATATATTATGTAATCTATCCAATAGTAGGCCAATCCCATGTTTATCACACATTCACAAGGCAGTTTATCTTTATCATGGCAGAGATGATGAACATTCAACAATATTTCACTGAATTGTCACCTCAAAATCTACTATAAGGCCTCCTTTATCAGTCCATTTTTCTACATTTCCATTGCTTCACCTCCACTATGTTTTTTTATAAAATTGTTTTTCTGTCCTCAAACCAACTGACTTTTCTAGTTTATTATCAGTAACACAAACTTGGATGTAATGGAATGTCAATGGAAATAACAAACTATAATAAAACTATTTCTTGTCTTCAGTCAACACTAGCTTTCAAAATTCACAACAAACAGGATATTTTTGACCTATAAGTAATTTACTTCAATTTCATTTCCAGAAGGAAAAACTTTTAAAGAACCAAAATATTTAAATGCACATCACTAGTCCATAAGAAGTAAATAAAATATCAAAAATTAATAATATTTTTAAAAATAAATCCCTGGTTTCTCTGTAAAACTTTTGTGTGGTATCCCTTTGGAACATAGAGTTTTCATGTACAGTAGAGTGTAATTTAGTAACAATAACTCAATTCGCATTTAAAATGAAATAATTTAAAGGAATGATATGAAAATTAGAATTATGAACACATATTTTAAAATACAATTATAATAAAACACAATTACTTATAATAAAATAGAAAAAAATCAGTAGAATGAAGCAGAGCATTTGCCTCTTAATAATCTCTGTTCCACAAAAATTGATTATGAATAAGTTGCTCAGCAACAACAATCACATAAAATGAAGTAATCTTTATTCATTACTTTAAAAGCGAATAGATTCTTGATTTAGAGCCTGAAGAAGGATACCATTCTCAAACATTTAAATGTGTGGTAGAAAACTCACCCATTACTGCCCAGCATACAATTTTTCACATACCAGACACTCTTTGAAATTTATTGCTTATTTTGAACTAATTTGGGAAGTTTATTTCTTCAATAGATGAAGACATTATAAATGAAACATAAAAGCAATTTTTGAAATTCCTGCTTGCTAATGTCAATTTAGCTGAGATCATCCATTGCCCATTCCTGGCCAGGGCACATTTATAACATGTCAGGCCTTGTTGCTACAACTGAGGTTGTCTTCAGCAATGTATGTATGCACAGACCTGATGACACTGAGTAAGTGCTATGCACACAAAATTATGACAGGCCTTAATGTGTTAAAAAACATATTTTGAGAGGGGTTTTTGTTTGTTTGTTCTTTTTTAATTAGGCTAGTGTATAATTCTTTGATTCTATTTTAGCAACAAGGCTCAAATCAGGTTTGCTAAACTAAAGGGTCCAATTGGTCAATTTTCACATTTTCATTTTTCTTAATATTTCACATTAACAAAAAACTTCAAATCATGATTCAGGGAAAATATTCATCTACTGTCAGTAAATTATAATACAAACACCCCTAAAGGAACATAGTATTTTAAAATGTGCATTAAAAAGGAAAATATAAATACCAAAAAATTAATTATAAGAAAAATGTTCAACAGTTTATGGACTAATATGCTATCTAAGTTTCAAATGACTTTTGCATTAGAAAATTACATTTCTTTAAACATATTATTGCACTAAGCTGTTTTCTGAAAGACTGGTGAATAAAAAAATTCCAAAACCAATCAAGAACAGGTGATTTATAAGTTTGAAACTTCTACTGATGAAGGACTGAGGAACCTTGGTAACTATATTTTCTATAATAACAGCTATGTCTTAATATTACATATACATTTCACCATAAATTATTCACATAAGATTCTCAGATGGTCATAATCATACAATTTGCATGTAATTATTGTATAAGATATTAGAAAAACATTTTTTTTCCAGTCCACTATTGCGTTACTAGAATTATTACAAACTGCATACATTTTTTGTCATTATTTACAGTTCTCTGAGTTCACAGTAATAAAAAGGTTGTTGTAAAGAAGTTTGTCAAACATTCACAAAATGAAATATTGTCAATTAGGTTTTTGCTTGGTTCTTTTCCAAAATTAATTTTGCTACGGAAATATTCACTTTTTTTTGCTTACTTCTCTTCTTAGTGAACATTTTCAATGATAAAAAAAACAAATTTTATTCTAGAACCCTCCATTTTCTTTATTTTAAATTTAAATTCTTTATATAATGTGAATTTTAAATGAACTATTATGAATACCAATAACACTTGGCAGCATTTTCTTGCATGATACATGAGAGAGATCTTTCAATTGGGTATTTTTTATCTACTAATCAACAATATAACATGAGTTGAGCACCAATGGAATATGAAATATCCAAACATTTCCACTTCAACTTTATCTCTCATACATGAATACAGATCAAACTCTTGACTGAATCTAAGGAAGATAAATGAAAAATTGGATAAGAACTGACATTAATCATGTCACACAAATACTTTTCCACTCTCTGCAGACATTAAGATGATTTTTATGACTTTTATTAAAAATAGAATTACAAAAATATTCATGCATTTATAATCCATTCTCTGAGAACCTGCTCAATGGATTGTTGTAAGTCCCAGCATTCCAATAACAGTAGAAACACAGCCTATCTACTGCATCCCACAGACATTGTTAAAAGCTAATATGTACAATGTAATAAAATATTATATTTGAATTGATCCAAAGAATATGTTCAATGAATTAGTAATTCTATTTACGTTTGTATGCAAAGAAACATATCCTCAATGAGACCTGCCCCCATCAATCATTCATCCAGGATAATTCCCATCAACCAAAAACCGAATGAATGTAATCACACAAATGGAAAAATATCATTCATATTTTCAAAATTATATCACTATAAATAATGTGAAAGCAATTCATTCATGCAGGAAAACACATCCATTACTTACATACCTTGTACACTTTTTCAATTGAGTATTAATCTCTTAAGTTTATCCAGATGCGAAAGTCAGAAAGTAAAAGTACAGAAAATGTTATTTTACATTAAAGATGTAACATATGTGCATATCATAATACATAAATTGAAATTAAATATTTTTAAATTGACAAAATGAACATTCAATATTACCCACATTCTGTTGATAATGATTAATAACTTTCATATCAATGTTACAAGAAGATCACAATATTACATCTTACAATATACAATAAGATGTGAAAGAAAGTGAAAGTTTTAGAAAAGCTTACCACAACCACATTCATATGCAAACCATTCATGATGCCAAATGGCAAGTACTTTGGAAAAATTACAAAATAACGCAAGGTGTAACAACAGGAGATTCGTGGAGGCACAGTTCTGATATAAAAATAATCGAAAACTTAAATACAAAATAAAGTTATTCGAAGGAAAGGGATATATTAGTCCTCTCTTTCCTTCTTACCCTGGCTCAGACTCTTATAAAGTGCATGGCTACGCAATTGAGCCAGTGGGAAGTACCATTGCCTTTGTAATCTCACTCAGGAGAGACATTTCAGCTTCTTCATCTGCCTCAATGTCTCCATTTAGGTGTGTTTCAGCTACCTCTACTTCTTCTTTTGATTCATCATCATTTGCTTTTGACAAGGTCAAAGGCACTGTCTCCATGGGATCATCTGCAACAGATGTCAGGCACAAAAAACACATAAACTTGGAAAAAGGGACAAAAAACAAATGAATATTTTAAATTGTACCATCATTCAAGTATGTAGTAAGAATATCTCTTTACAAAAACATACATCCTTTTTATAGTTCTTTGGAGAAAAAAATTATAAAATTCACAAAAAGCAATAACATAAATTTCAAATAGAACAGGAAACACATCATGAATATAAAATATCCTTTTACTAATCCAAGCGATACAGTTGCAATCATGCTTAAGGCCATCACAAATAGCATGCACAACCATTACCATTACGTAATTCAATTTAATATTGAAGAAATTATTAAGAGCAGAAAGGAAAATTAGGAAACAAAAGCAGAAGACACACTTAAAAACAATAAGGCTTTTATTGGCCAATACACATAAATATCAATGAGAAAATCAAAACAAAAGTATAACAATACCTATTTTTAAACTCACAAAATACACAGAAATATTTGAAAGTCATGTAATGTTTGTCCCATAAGTACAACATTCAATTCATGACAGGTTAAATTTGGCAAGGTACATAATTTATGATAGGTTAAATTTTTCACAAGAATGTATTCATGGTATCAATTATGTTTGTTCCATAAATGTCATTATCACAAACAGACAGATTTAATGGTAAAACTACCAATATCATTATACAGTCGACTGCAGATATAGTGAACCCTCAGTTATAGTGAACTTTAAAGTCACTGGTCCTGTTTCACTTACATTACAAATAAGCATAAGAAGATTCAATTATAGTGAACCTAAACCTTGGCTACAGGGAACATACAAAACAATGGAAATTAATTGGTCTTGTATGTATATTAAAGGAGTAAAAGGGCTTTTGGAGAACGTAATGGTGTTCTAATATTGCAAGAGACATTGAAGGGTGTCTGCATTACAATACTTAGAGACAAAGGACAATGCAAAATCAAGTATGGGGAGAGTACGAACTCTGAAGAAATATCAAGAGAAATTGCTAATGAAAATTGTATAAAGTAAACAATTGAAAATAATTATTTTTTAAGGACAAATAAAGATATTGCGATTTTCAGTTTGTGCTATTAAAGAATTTTGTTGTATCTGTATGTTAATAAAAATATCATAGTGGAGAAATTCTATTTAATTTTGACATCATTGGATATAGTGAACCAAACGTGTTAGTCCCCAGAAGTTCACTATAACCGGAGTTGACTGTATTTATCAGTCTTCATGAACATTAATATTTATGCATTCAATTAAATTTTAGTGGATTTAATATCTTGCACTTTATCGAGGTAAGTGATTTGTTTTATTCTCTTCAACATACACCTTGACTACACAAGCACTGACTAGTTTCATACACAAAGTTTACAAAGTTCACACATCGTATACATATCTGTGACATACAAGTACAATAGATACTATTAACAAATATCATAAATACCATTAATATGAATCAATAACTGCTCTACAAATCAGAAAAATTATTACATCATGTTATCAAAAAGTAGCAAAACAATTAGAGTTTTAAGGAACATAAAGCAGTTTCAGTGCTATAAACATGACATGAATTAATTTCTGTGACATTTCCAGTTATTAACATTAGAAAATAAACAAAACAGTGACAAGCTTATCATTATTATAAATGCTATAAGCAGTCTTTCACAAAAAAAGTTAAATAACAGAAAAATAAAATCATTAGTATAGATTCAACATTAAAAATCCTATTTTATACAAATTAAATCAAAATTCTGAAAACAATCACCACTCATATCACTGAAATCTTAACATAGATCATGATGTTTTACACAGAGAGAACATAGCAACACAAGTAAGAAGTGCAATAGGTAGCGTACTACATAATTTTTGCAAAAAGTTTATACTAGTATAGTTTATGTTATGCAGGGTTTTCATGCAAAAGTATGTCAAGAAATTGTAATTATACAATGCAATTGATTTTCTCTAAAAAAAAAAAAAAAACTCTTAGAAAATAAAACTATCATTTTGCATTTCTTCAGTAAAAACCGTACTAACAAATCGGCAGTTACACACACTCCAAGCATTCTGAGATTCATACTTATATGTACTTTAACTCCATTTATTAAAGAATATCCATTCTAACATACATAAACACTTTATTTCCATGACTATACATGACTCCTTAAAGATAATACTTTACAGCTTTCATGCACACACACACTTATATTTTAAAGTAAAAATTTGGAAAAAGAAATGAATGACCAGATGAAATAAATAGTAAGTGAGAATAATATTATAGCAAAGATAAAGTCTGGAAAGTCAACAGTGGTTTAAAAAATCAAACAGCTCAAAAAGATTATAATTCAATAACCACAGTTTTTACTAGAAAGTCTAATACTAATCCTAAAATAATGGTTTTAAGTTGAATTTTCCATCAGTGTTTCATTTAATGATATGAGGAAAAAACTCAACAAAAATTATTTCACATAACTGAGTAGCTGTAGCACCTTTGTTGACTATCCAGAAAGTAGTTGAGAGATCGTGAACGGTGGGATTGATATAATAGGTGACGAGTTTCAGGGCAGTAAGTAGTGTGCTTTGGTGCTACAATTTGCACCCACCTACCTGTAGTAACAGCATCCTTATAGCTTGGAGGAGGAGGAGGTTGCTGGGTAGAATCTGAATGACAGTCACCATTTGCTATACTTTGTTTACTGTCTGTTATGACACCATGTTCCACATCACAAGCAGTTCTCTCTTTCTTCACACACCACACTAGGAAAAGAACGAGAGATCCAACAATGGGAGGTACTCCAGCCAGGACAAATGGCAGTGTGTACGATTTTGTGTGATCATAAATAAGTCCTGAAATCAGAAACATCAATTAAACCATACTGGTGTTACTGAAAAGACATCTAATATGTAGAGAATCAATTCCATAGATTAATGGAATTCAGTTTGTGAAACAACTTTAATAAAATAAATTAACATAATTTCGCATCACACACTAATTTCAATTAAATGAAGTGGGAAACTTTCTCTCTTTCTATTTAAATAGACATCCTTCTCAAAATGAAAAACACAAACTACATTAATTCTACATTTTACCAACATGCCACCAAATTACAGAGGAAATGATCCATTAATAACTTTACAATTCTTCAATGAAAATGAAAGTGAAAAATCAAGGCACAAAACTAATAAAAAAAGGAAATTCCCTAACATTATTCCAACATTTTACATGCCATCAACCCAATGAAAATAAACCTGCTTCATATTCTCCTTACAATGAGTTTTAGACAAGAAATTACCAGGTAATTATTTATCACAATCATCAATAAAAACACTACTTTCGAACACTAAGAAGTTATTTAAAACTCACAAAAACTTTGGAATGTCAAGTGATTTATGAACTATTCAATACAAATACTTGAAACCTTAATAATTTTAAATAATTGAGAGCTATATTAGCTCAGACAGGAATAGCCAAAGAAAAATAATGGGTGAAGTTACCTGCAATGGGTGGACCCACAGTCAATGGTATGGAGCACAATCCCAGTAGAAAGCCAATGGCCTGAGATGCTCCACTTTGTCCACAAAATTCAAATGCAATGGGCCCTAAAAGACTGATAAAGCACCCATCAAATAGACCCATAGCTAAAGCAATAGCTACCAATAGAATGTACTGGTTTACCAATGGTAGCAACATGGTCAGCACGCCAATGGAGATAAATGATATCTGAAACATCAAAAGAAACACAATATTCACCATACAATTGACAAATTTTAAAGACACACACGAACATCTTAAGGCAACATACAATAGTTATACAATTCAGCATGTATTAATTATGTTATCATCAACACATTATTGAAGTTTAATAAAATACACAGAGCAATTGTTAAAACACACTTAGCAAATTATGAGAACATACCTGCTGAAGAAGGATTCTGTTTACATTGGGAATGTCTGCAATCTTCCCAAAAATTAATCGTCCTAATCCAGATGTTAGACCCATACACATAATAAGAATTTTTCCATCAAGCAAACCCTCTTCACCTTTAAATTTATCCTCAACAAATTTAACCTGGAAAAAAGAAACATAGACTTACAAAAACTATTCTTCAACATTTAGATGAAAATAACAGAAGAAAAACCTCAGAAACAATTAACAAGGTTTCATTTGCAGACTTTGAACTCTGTGAATATAATTTGTTTGTCAAACAATACACAATGGGTACTAATTTCATGCAATCTGTAAATGTATATTTGCTACTCTTTGTTATTGAAACTAAGTTTTCTGTTTATTTACATAAATTAAAATCAAAATAATTGACCAAAAGTGGCAGAAAATATCTTGATGTATTGGGAAAACGGTCATTTTTACTTTCTCACTAGAGAGAAAGTTATGTAATGCTGCGGGGAAAAGCAGCAAATTTTCGGCAGAAAATTTGAACTTTGAATTTTCTAAAACTTATTATTTTAACGAAGTGAAACGTGCATTCATTCTTCTCCAATTTCCTTCACACATCCTTAATCAAAAACGTTGTAGCCATTTTTTCTTTTTTTGAAAATATTGAAAATTCCCAGAGGCTCATGTAAAATAATCCAAAAATTAAAATATCGGTTTCAAAGTCAAGAACCCGCGAAACAAATCGATAGGTATATCAATATGGAAAAAAGTTCGCCTGAATGGGTTAAGCTAAATGTACCGACACTAGTACAATTGTTGGCCACCCACTCGCAGCACCAAAATAAGTAAAATTTACTTTACCGGATAACGTCTGAACCAATGGTCCGATTCGATCTGTAAAACGAATTGACGCTTTTTTAAAATAGAATTCACGCTTACCATGCCCTTTTTCGCGAAATCTAAAGCAAAAATTTATAAATTTGAAATTATCTCAACTTCCGAGAAAAAATTAAAAAACTGTGGGCTTATAGCGCGATGGCGAATGCTTGCTAATCCAACGCCGTGCAATCATGCAAATCGAATGAATAGAAGCGTGCGTAAAGTGAAATTACAAAAACGAATCGCCCCCCCCCCCTCCCTTCTGCGGCCGTAAGCGTCCAACCCAGCCCATGTTGGGGCCCTCTGTCGGGACCTCCGTCAAGCTGCAACCCCCCACTTGTTCGAAATTTCAAAATTAAGACTAGCCTATATTTGAACTAATTATTACTAATTTTTCTACCACAATTAAAAATTTTTGTACTCGACTATAAACATAAAAAAACCCCACATCCAAAAGTGGGCGGGTGCTAGCTTGGACGTTAAGATTAGCACCCCCACTTCTCATAAATTCAAAATCAAACGTAGCCTTAACATTAATCTACTAATTATGTACTAATGTTTCTACCACTTTTTAAAAATTTTGTACTTCAACTATAAAAAAAACAATTTAAAAACGGTGCCAATGAAGCAACTTTTCACCAACACATTTTCTGATTTTTTAAAACATTTTTAGAGTGAAAGTTTAAAAGTTGAAATTAATAATGCAGATTAAACGATCATAGGTGACTTTTACATTGTAATTATTCAACATTTATCTAGTCCCAAACGTAATACCACAGTCTAAAAACAACGAAAAATTGCAAAGTGGCCTCTAAAACAAAAGTGTCGCGCACTGCATCCCCTTTCGCAGAATTCCAATTTAACTAGTCTAGTATTCTTCTTAGCATGAGTACTATACTACAACAAAATAAATAATTTCGTTCTCAACTATTAAAACAACTGAAAAACCTGGTGCAATAAAGCACTTTCTCGTGAAATTTCACGAAGTTTTTAAAACACATTTTAAGTCAAATTGCAAAGTTGAAATTTCACAACGCAGTTAAAAAATATAATGAACCTTTTACATATAAATAATTTCAGAAATTCTATTCTAGTCCCGCAACTGAGATATTACAGTCTAAAAAACACGAAAAATTGTGAGCGGCTCTAAAACAGAAAGTGTCCCCCACTGCCATCCCCCTTCGCGGAAAATTCCAATTTAACTAGCATATTCTTCTAACATGTATGTACTAATACCTGCAAGCAAAATAAATAATTTCGTGCTTCAACTATAAACAATTAAAAACTGGTGCAATTTGACACTTAAGCGTTTAATTTCTGATTTTTTTAAAACTCGTTTTCAGTCAAAATTTAATTTTGAAATTTAGACTCACTTTGACTATTTGTTTTTAGTGTAATAATTTAATAATATTTTTTATATAAGTGAAACAAATTGCCAATTTTCATTTTATTATGAGTGAAATTCTCAAATAGATATGCTGATGAAACACCTTTATTTAACCTAAATATCTAGCAATTCGATATGTTTATGGTTAGCAAAAAATTAAAGATGCCAACTTTAATTGTTCTCGGCAATTACTCTAATATCATAGAAAAATTCTCCCTTCACTTCCATACATTTTGACTCAAATATTTATGTATAAAAACCTTTCAAGGTCGACAATATTCCTTGAAATGTCAATTTCATAATGTCAATTTTAAATCAAAGTATTAGTAAAGCAGAGATGATTAAATAGCGTACCTAGCAAACCAGTCGCTGCTATATCAGCCGGCTACTCCTAATCTCTCTCTTTGTGT